TATTTACGGTGCTATGCCCTCACAAAATAATATATACTGGTAACCCATGAGTGGAACAGAAGTGAACCTTCTTGCCACCACTTGTTGACTCTCTTGAATGTTTCCTACCTCAGCGACTCCTGCTGAATTTCAAGCTGCAACTAGCACCTGGCCATTTTGTGTTCCCCATGCCAATAAACCAACAGGCAGAGTCACTATGCAGGGTAACTGATCTTGATCCCTCTTCAATAACTTGTTGCCCCAGATGCTGGAAGTACTGACAATAAACAGCTTTCAACTACTACTGTCAGCTTCTTCAGGAATTGTGTCAGCTGAGGAGCCTCATTACTCACAATCATGCTCCTTCCTAGAGTGACCCATACTCAAAATGACTGATTGGCCATCTTCACCTAGCAACTATGAAAAGCTTCCTGTGGGGTCAACTGATGTCCAAAGGCACCCCTTAGAAAATATCTGCATAGCAAATTTTGGCCAGGCTCAGTGGCTCATGCCTGTAATCCCAGCACTTTGGGAGGCCAAGGTGGGTGGATCACAAGGCCAAGAGATTGAGACCATCTTGCTTGGCCAACATGCTGAAACTCCATCTCTACTAAAAATACAAAAATTAGCTGGGTGTGGTGGCTCCCGCCTGTAGTCCCAGCTACTTGGGAGGCTGAAACAGGAGAATCGGTTGAACCAGGGAGGCAGAGGTTGCAGTGAGCCGAGATCCCACCACTGCATTCCAGCCTGGCGACAGAGTGAAACTCAGTCAAAAACAAAAAACAAAGGAAACAAGAAAACAACTGCATACCAAATTTCATCTGTTTGTCTCCTGTGGGAACCCAAAAGTCACACCATGAGGCCCTCATGGTGTGACTTTTTATAGGCTTTTGTGATTGTTACTTCGGTTTTTATACTCTTGAAAGTGCTAAAACAGGGTAAAGAAAATACCTTATGGGACTACTATAAGGGGTACCTAATGTGGTCTTGAGAGCCTCAGAAGTTTTGGGTAGGAGAGTACCAAACCATTCAATTTATCCCTTCAAGTTAAATGTTAACAATATGTGACCAAACTGTTTCTGAAATGGTCATAACATAGTGAGACCTTTTGAAAATAAATATTCAGAAATGTTTCCATTGGTTACCTAAGTTTATTACTGAAAATACATGTTACTTGTAAGAATGCTCATATGTGTAAATGGAATTTTCTATCCTGTTTAAAAATCTTCCAAAAGACCTTCTAATTGAAAACTAATCTCAGGCATATGAAAGCTTACTAACTAGATTTCAATGAATATTTGGCATTCTTAAGGAAGTAGACTGAAAAATTAGTATTATGATTTAGCAAATGGAGCTAAGAATGGAGTTCTTCCTTTAGGATCCAGGTATTTATGTGCTTTTGTTTGAGCTATGACAACCATAAAAACAAAGTATTGAAATAACTGAATTTTTGACTGGGTGCAGTGGTGAATGCCTGTAATCTTATCACTTTGGGAAGCTGAGGCAGGCAGATCACCTGAGGCAAGGAGTTTGAGACCAGCCTACAAACATGGCAAACCCTGCCTATACTAAAAATACAAAAATTAGCCACGTGTGGTGGTGCATGCTGAGCTGAGATTGCAACACTACACTCCAGCCTGGGCGATAGAGCAGGCTCTGTCTCAAAAAACAAAACAAAACAATAACAAAAAACAACCACCAAACAAAACCCCCAAACAAAAAACCCTGAACTTTCAGAATATTAAATCATAGAACATTTTCTAATGCGAAAACATAAAGACCTGCTATCTAGTTAATTAGTTCCTTTAACTCTTGGTCAAATATTATAATGGCATTTTTGACGAGAGCAAAAAGGTATCAGTATTATTAGTGAAATGTTGCATATATTTTATCCCTTAAAAATTAGGTGGGTGTGGTGACGCATACCTGTAATCCCAGCCACTTGGAAGGCTGAGGCATGAGAATCCCTTGAGCCTGCAAGGCAGAGTTTGCAGTGAGCAGAGATTGTGCCACTGTACTCCAGCCTGGGCGACAAAGCGAGACTCTGTCTTTAAAGAAAAAATCATTTAAATATGTATTAGTAGAGTAGCTTACATGTTATACCACACACACATACACTGGAGCATGTGGTTAGTGATTTTTAAAACCAAAAACAAAGCTTTGTTAAAAGAAATTTCTACAGATACTGCCTTCTTGGTTTTATTAAATTTCATAATTGGACCACATTCACCTATTCCCAATATCCTTTGAAATTTGAGGAAGTCAGCAGAACTGAAGACAACTGATCTTATACTACAGTGCAAAAGCTAAATGCTACTGTACATTTGAACATAATCAAGTAAAACAAACTACAAATAACATACATGGACTTTGATAATTTGACTTCTCATGAAGGAATTGGTCATATTCTTCAGTAAGTATGGCTAAGTATTATCTGTTTTTTTTTTTCTTATCATGCTATCTCAGTGTTCAAAATTGGCATACCTTTTCCTTGCAGAGGATTACTTTGTGCTGACAAATTATTTTTGGCTCTTTAATTGCCCAGAGTCCCTAGATTTTATTTTTTGCTATGGGATTTTAAAGAGGCTACTTTCCTCAAATACTGCCTGCTAATTAGAAATATTGTTAGCAAGACCTAAGTTCTGATATTTCCTAGAACTAATGCAGCTAAAAGGTTGAAGGGCCGTTTCGTTTGTCTTTGTACTAAGTCATTCTTCCTCTCTAGTCTGATACCTCTCATGAAAACGTAATCATGGCACATGGTTCATGTATATTAGTCATAATACAACTTTAATACAGGCAAGTCCATAGTGGTTATCAAGGGTAATTTGGGTCTAATTAATCTCTTGAGCAAACTACTCTGTAGCATTGTTTTATACCTTTTTTTCTTGGCAAACTCATGGTTTTAAGATTGAGATTTAGTTTACATTCATTTTAATACTTAAAAACCTTTCCATCTTCTATAGGAAGAGGCCTACCATTCTTACATTTTACTTTATTAATGAAACAGCACTGGAATGATTTTTTATTGATATGTAACAAAACTTTCTTTGGTCTCACAATCAAACCTGCATTTATAGAAACTTGTAACATTTAAATAAATATAACATTTATAAACCTGCAGTATTTTAATGCATCCTTTATATGGCAGAATAGAACTACACATCATCCTAGCAACTAAGTGCTTTAAAAAACTCCCAAATTTTATCTGATAACAGAATAATCCTACATTTCCAGAATTAAGGTTTCAAATTCAATGGTTTTAGGTCAAAGTTTTACACATAAAATTCTGTTTTCTATTCCTCTTTTAAAGGTATAGATTTTGCTTGCACATCCATTAGGGTTCTCTACAAATTACAAATGTTAGAAGCATCTATATATGGTTCCAAAAATTATTCTAGTATTAAAACCATGTATGCAAAGAAGTCACTGGCCATTTGAGATGATTTTTGTGAAATACATCTTTTGCCATAATTGTGTACTTGTCATCTTAGAAAAATAAACATTCATTTTTGAGTCACAGTACCAGTCTTCACTGCTGCTCTGGCTACCCCTAGAAATATGGAATCATCAACTTTAAATGCTGTACTACCTGTTACCTTTAGATGAAAGTTAATTAGGGTGTCTTCTTTTCTTCCCTAACATCTTTTAACTTTGGTACTCTTGAAATCACAGAATTCTACTTATCCCGTGCTTGCTGGGGATTTTTCTTTGTCTGGACACTTTTGGTAATGCAGGTCACTTTCGATCAAGCAAACCAAGTTTTCTGTCGACCCTGCTGATGATCTCTGAAGATTTCTATTTTTCAAGATACCTTGCTACATTAAAGATTAAGTGTCCTTCTGTGAACAAATCAGGGAACTAAACCATAAGTGCTGTTAGAGAATTAAAAACAAAAAAGGAGGATCACTTGTGATTAGGTGTTATGAGATCAGCCTGGGCAATACACCAAAAACCCATCTCTCCAAAAAAAAAGAAAAGAAAAACTGGGCTCAAGTCAAGTAATCCTCCCAGGTCAACCACCTGAGTAGCTGGGGCTACAGGCATTTCCCACTACACCCCCCTTTTTTTTTTTTTTTTTTTTTTTTTTTTTTTAAAAGTAAAGTTTAGCTATGCTGCCCAGGCTGACGTTGGTTGAACTCCTGATCACAAGTGATCCTCTTGTTTCAGCTTCCCAGTGTTGGGATTACAGGCATAAGCCCCAGAGCCTGGCTAAGCCCAGGAGTCTGAGGCCACAATGAGCTGATTGCACCATGGTAACCAGACCTGGAGAAGAGAGAGACCTAGTATCAAAAACAACAAGAAGCAACAAAGGCAAAGCAGCCTTGGTAAAAACCAGGAAAAAGTACTCCTACCTCTAGGAAGATGCACTCTCCTTGCCAGGACACATTACTTGCTGCAGATAACCTGCATAGCACAATCCACACAAACTCCAGATTCAAATGGAAATTTCTTATATTTGAATTTTCTCTTCTTCAAATTATTGTATAAATAAGTGCCTGATCAAGAAAATCCTCGTATATAATTCAATGTCATTCCTTTCTCTTTCATCTCCTACCAAATTAGGGGCAGAGTCAACTTTGGAATATTCTGTTATTTACAAAGGTAAATAATTAAAAATAGCAGATAAATTATATTCCATTTGGAATATAATTATATTGGAATATAATATAAAGCCTGGTTAAGTCTTTCCTTCATGGCTTCTAGTTACCCCTACACATAATTACTCAGTCCCAAAATACTAGCATAGTCCACCAGTTTTCCTCAAGTGTCAATATTTCTGATGATTTCCAGAATTCAAACAAAGAAATATATTTCTCATTCTGTATGGAATTTAGGATTTTCAAGGCAATGTCATGATATCCTGAGAATCTTTTTAAATTTACAACAGACACAATTAGAATATCCAAATGCATAATGCTAAATTTGATATTCCCCAAATTTCACTTGGTACTGGTTTTCAGTGACAAAGCAAATTATTATTCACTGTAAATCTCAGGAAACAATTGTGAACATACATATTATGCAAAACACCAGTCACAAGTTTATTCTGTAATTTTTCTGTAACAGGCATTCAATTCTGTAAACTCTAAACATTACTTAATATTTACATTTGGTTCTATAAACAAGGTTGGTAAAAAAAAAATTCTAAGAATTTCCATATATACTTATAAAAATTTCAAGAATATGATCCTTATCGCTTCTGAAAAGTATGCATTTTTTAAAGTCTAAAAGCCAGTAAATGTAGAAGTTGAAGGTGAAGAGAAAAACACTGTCAACAGGTTATCTGAATTTTCCTCTTCCCAAATATCTAAAACGTTGCATATACTACTGTTTTCAGTGTAGCTTGTGAAACCCAAAAATTCTGATTTCTCTTCACTAGTCTGAAACAAGTCTAGTAAAGACTGTACCGGTGAACTACAAATTCTGTTTTCTTCTTGGGTAATAAGTTCAGTTCTTTTATCAAATTCAGCATTTGGTTCCAGATTTTCTTTTCTATTTCGTCCTAATAATATTTTCACTTTTCTACGTATTCTACCAGAAGGTAAACTATCCGTATTCTTGATGTCACATTTATTGGGTTCCTCAGGAGAAGTATGGGATGGAGCCTTTGCCTGAACAGTTAGGTGCTCTTGTGAACTGTTTATTGTTATCAGACAAGAATCATGAGCAAATATTGAATGAAGGTCCTTTTCCATGAGATCCTTTGCTGGAAAAAGCAAAGTATCTGAGTTTTGTTTTGGTTGAGATGTACTATCTATACTGAAGTCAGAAACATGTGCAGATGCCTGTACGTTACATTGATCGTGATCTACCCTTAGTACTTCCAAGTCATTTTCACTTAATGTGTGTCCAGAAATGTCAAGAACGCATTCCTGTTTGTTTTTATGTAGAGGTAGCTGTGTAAAATTCTGTCTTATGTCATTTTCAGCTGTATTTAACATAGAACATTTATTGGTCATTTTCTCATGAAGCCCTCTCAATTCATTTGAAGGGTGGGGGTTGGGCTCTGAAATAAACACAGGCTTTTTTTCTGTTTTCTGGGTCTCTTTATATAGGAAATTCTGCTCCATTGCCTGTATATCATCTCTCCAGCAATCTTTCTGAGAAGTATGTTGCAATTCCACGTTTTCTTTTTGTTCAGTCTTTTTCAGGGCATTTGCAGAAACAGGAGAAAGGGATCGAACACTGTATTTTATTCTTGATAGGAAAAATAAAGGAAAAATATTAATTGCTATCAAAATAAATTCCTTAGTTAGAAATTAAATCAGTAAAAACATTGTATTTGTATAATCTTTAAGAAACCTATTTAACTTAGAAAATATTACAAAAAATACAATCATCTTAACATTTTGCAAAATATACTTGAGCTGTTTTTAAAATAATACAACGTTTCATATGTAGGTGAAAACTCTAGTGTACCCCTCTTCTCTTCTACATTCTTTGCCTCCCTCCCAGAGATAACCAATATCCTGAATTTTGGCATTTAAATTACTTTAACCTCGTAAACGAAAGAAAGATAATAGTAAAGGGATTTGAGCCTACTCCTAATTTTGCTGTCATTATTCTGAACACTTTTGTAACTTCTGTGCTTTGAATTATATTAACACACATGTTACTCAGCAATTTAGAGAATAAGTATTTACTGGGAAATCTATGGCAAAAACAATTATTTTGAATTTACATTTAAGAATATTTAATGTCAAAGTGAGCTAGCAACTCAGTATCTTTATACTTTCAAAGGTGACAAAGCTTCACACATATTTGGCCTAAAATTCTTTTCTTCATAGAGCATCTTGATATCCCTGAAATGCCAGTTTGTGTTAGACAAGCCTAAATAACATACAATTAGAGAAAAAGTTAATAGCTCACCAATTACATTTTATGTTCTGAATGTCACAGATTAACTGTGAGAAATATACAATTGTTCCTGCCCCTTCAACCAGAATGTTCTTTTATATTTATCTTGTTTATACACTTACTTACAATTCTCTTTCAACAAACGGGCAATAAAAAAATGTACAAAAATAAAAACGAATCTAACATGGCTTTTTAGTCCAAGATGTTTAGGAGACTTGCCCACAGAAGTAAAATTAGTGCACATAAAAATAAGACATATTAAGGAACAACCAGTTTATAAATTATAATCATAAATGACTAGTTCAGAATTTTGCTACAGAGTTTTTAGAGAATTATACATTTTTGGAGTAGCCCATGTAATTTTGTTTTGTTTCGTTTTGTGAGAAAGAGTCTCTCTGTAACCCAGGCTAGAGTGCAGTGGCCTGATCTCAGCTCACTGCAACCTCCACTTCTCAGGTTCAAGTGATTTTTGTGCCTCAGACTCCTGAATAGCTGGGATTACAAGCATGTGTCACCACTAATTTTTTTTCAGTAGAAATGGGCTTTCACCATGATGGCCAGGCTGGTCTGGAACTCCTGGCTTCAAGTGATCTGCCTGCTTCAGCCTCTCAAAGCGCTGGGACTACAGGTGTGAGCCACCGCGCCCAGCCACAGCTCACATAGTTTTAATAGTTGGAAATATACCTCCTCTTCAAATCCATATTAAGTCAGTCATGAAACTATTCTGAATGTCACAGAAATTTGGGATTTAAGAACTCTTCTACCTGAAGTCAAAAAACTTTCTAGTTAATTTTCAGAAGCTGTATCTGGGTATCACATTTCTAATCTTCTTTATGCCTTAAGTAAGAGTACTCTAAAAATAAAGACTAACTTAATGAGTTATCACCACCTCTAGGGTATATTCATACAAAAGCATTTCTTTGTAAGTTTATGGGAATAATCTGATCAGGATAATTTTTGTCCACACACAGTCAGGGTACACTGGGCAGTACTGTATTCACACTTAAAAGTCCTGTCAGTATCTTCAGTAAATATACCCATCATAAGGGTTAGGTAAAGATATTTCGTGAAAGTATAAAGACCTAAGAGGCAAGTGGAGGAAGGTTTCTTAAAACTCCTTAATATTACCTAAAAGTTTGATAAAACTTTTTAGTCCGAATAAACGTTAAACTTTATGGTTCTATAACAGGAGTTGATGAACTATATAGTCTGTTGCCAAAATCTAGACTACAGTCTATTTTTCCAAATAAAATTGTATCAAAATACAGCCATATCCATTGTAAAATAAAAAAGCTAATTAGTTGCAACAGAGATCTTATGGCTCACAAAACCTAAAATATCAAATATCTGGCTCTTTATGGGAAAAGTCCATCAACTCCTTCTAAACTACAATGTCAAGAATGAGACTAATTAGTGGGGTGTAGTGGCATATGCCTGTAAACCCAATTACTCAAGAGGTTGAGACACGAGAATCTCTTGTACCTCAGAGGCAGAAGTTGCAGTGAGCCGAGAGAATGCAACAGCAGTCCAGCCTGGGTGATACAGCGAGACTCTGTCTCAAAATTAAACAAAAAATTTAAAAAAGAAAAAATTTTAGATAAAAAGAAAACTTAAAAACAATGGAAGTAAAAGTAGTCTAAGGTAAGCATCTTTGATAGTAGGGAAAAAGGGAAGGGAAGAAGTTACTGGTTTTTAACCATATTTACATCCTGAAAATACATATTCCTTCTAAGAACAGGCATACTGTGTTTATTTTTAGTTTAATAAAATAGTTTAATATTCTAGTATAATTTGTTTTATTTATGTATGTATTTATTTTTGAGATGGAGTCTCACTATCACCCAGGCTGGAGCACTGCAACCTCTACCTCCCAGATTCAAGGGATTATCCTGCCTCAGCCTCCCAAGTAGCTGGGATTACAGGTGTGCACCACCACACCCGGCTAATTTCTGTATTTTTTTTTTTTTTAAGTAGAGACAGGGTTTCGCCATGTTGGCCAGGCTGGTCTCCAACTCCTGACCTCAGGTGATCCTCCCAAAGTGCTGGGATTACAAGCATAAGCCACCACGCCCAGCCTTCTAGTATAATTTAAAATTTAGGTTGATAGCACTAATTACCTTTTCTTTTTAGGTGTGTCCTTTTCATATTCCACAAAGTCAAAAACTAACTTAGATACAATATCATCAACAACTTGATACCGGTTACTCTGTGCAAAGTTTCTGTGTTGCTCACTTAGAAGGTGCTAAAACAAAATTAAAAACATGTATTAAAAAATTGTATTTTAAAACCAAGAGATGCCATTTTATTAAGGTTTTTTAACATTCTCATGCCCCTAAAATTAGGTTTCCAATAACTACTCCAAAGATAATATCTTTACTGACTTCAAAAGATGTTTAAAATAAAAGTCACTTCTGAGAAACCAGTAAAACTACTTTGGTTTTTAGTCTTCAGTGAGAAAAGACAAGTACTAATTTGTAGCTACAATGGAACTAAAAAGAATGAACTATGTCAGAAAACAAAAACACAGGTTGGGCACAGTGGCTCATGCCTGTAATCCCAGCACTTTGGGAGGCCGAGGCTAGCAAATCACCAGAGGTCAGGAGTTCAAGACCAGCTTGGCCAACATGGTGAAACCCCGCCTCTACTAAAAAAAAAAAAAAATCAGCCAGGTGTGGGGGGCACGTGCCTGTAGTACCAGCTACTCACAAGGCTGAGGCAGGGGAAACGCTTAAACCCTGGAGGCAGAGGTTGCAGTGAGCTGAGATGGCACCACTGCACTCTAGCCAGGGCAACAGAGTGAGACTCCATCTCAAAGAAAAAGGAAGATACAGATGGAGAGACACAACAGTAACATTTTGGAAAACACACTTCCCTCTATTACTTTGTCTTTAGGCAGTTACCACTAAGTAAGGCAGGACTTATAGAAAATTAATTACATATAAGTTAACATACAAGAATCCAGAAAGTAGATTAAACACAGGAACCACATTAAGTACTATGAAGTATTAAAAAAGCCAAGATTCATAATTAAAGAACACATTTGAAAATGAACAACAAAACAAATGATTTCAATTACCCAGTGCTCATAACAGAGTATACAGAAGTTATTCTCTTATTCTTAAGAACCAAAACTGCCAGGCGCGGTGGCTCACGCCTGTGATCCCAGCACTCTGGGAGGCCGAAAAGGGCAGATCACTTGAAGTCAAGAGTTTGAGACCCCAGCCTGGCCAACATGGTGAAATCCAGTCACTAATAAAAATACAAAAATTAGCCCATGCCTGTATTCCCAGCTACTGGGGGTGCTGAGGCAGGAGAACCTCTGGAACCTGGGAGGCAGAGGTTACAGTGAGCTGAGACTACACCACTGTACTCCAGCCTAGGTGAGAGAGCAAGACTCCATTTCAAAAAAAAAAAAAAAAAGGTAAAAAACAAAAGTAAACATGTTCACAGCATAGTGAGAGATAAAATTCATAGGAACAAAGTTCCTTTCGAATAGGTGGAATCTCCAGCCCAACTCTATCATTTGTCTATCAGCTGATCAGGGAATTGTACTTAGAAGCTTGCCTCCAGATGATCAGGAAAGATCTAATTTCTGTATCCCTAGTTTCATGCAGTTTTACATTTTGATGATTTGATTACAATTCTAAAAACATCTCCACTGGTCTCAAAAAAACACAATGCATCCTAGAACACCCATGTATTTCTTCCTTACTTGCAAGCTTTACCATACACAAATTATATATGCCCAGCAATAAAAATGAGCAATTATTTAAGTTTAAAAGGAAACATCACATTTGTAAGCTCTGATTCAGTCTACCAATGTTCTAGGAAGGAAAATTTCCAACTTTTATTTAGTTCCCTCTAATTTCCATTAAGTTCTTCTTATTCATCCTTAAAGTCTTAATTTAGAAGTCACTTGTGCTCAGTTGGGCCTTTTGGGACCCTCATTCTGCTTTAAGTAACCTCATTATTTATTCCCATTGCACTTCATACTTTACTTTTGTGACAGTCATCACATTTGCAAATTCGTATTTTCTATCTATGTACTTTGCCAGACCATAAGGTGTATAAGGGTAGGGATGTCACCTTATTTGTTACTTTATCTCCAGTATTCAAACGTATTTGTTAATTGAATCACTGTGAAACCTAACGTTCAAAAAAAATTTCTTTACTCTTGGCAGCTTAGAAACATACAAATGAAAACTGTAAAAACATGATCTTAAATTTCAATCCCAACCTCTGTGTTCACTAATTTTCCTTCTTTGTGGCAACCAGTGAACATTTTTTTTCATTTTTCAGCCTCGACATTTTCTGAGCACCAAATTAAGTATCCATTCCAGATTTTTTTTTTTTTTGAGACGGAGTTTCGCTCTTGTTACCCAGGCTCGAGTGCAATGGCGCGATCTCGGCTCACCGCAACCTCCGCCTCCCGGGTTATTTTGTTGCTATACCAGCAAAGTAAAACTTCTGGACCAACACGTAATTTTAATTTTCAAAATGATTTTCAGGAAGGGAAAATATTTCTGAGATACTTTAGCTTCTGATTAAAAGCAATTTTAGACTAACTATAGTTTTCTCATTTATTACAAAAAAACAAAAACTACCACAAAACGCTAATATATTTTGGTTTATAAAACAAACTTCAATTCAGAGTCTGAAGACAGGTATGTTCAAGTATTATTCTTTCTCCTTAAGTTTCCCTCCATCTTTTACCAAAACCAAACCAAACACCAAAACAAACCTATCTACTACTTAAAAAATTCAAGTAACAGCTAACAATAAGCACTTACTATGCGCCAAACACTGTCCAAGGTCACATAGACAAGAAGCCAGCATTCAAACCTGGGCAGCTTGAATCCATAGGTGCTGCTCTTTTAATCAGTTTACAAACTATAGTATTTTCCCCATCCTCATCCTATATACTCTTTCCAACTCTTCCATTTCTTTCTCCTACCTCAATGAACTGTCTTTACTTCTTTCAACTCCTCTTCTCATTATAAATGAGGCTTTTTAAAAAATTGCTCAGGTTCAAAATCCTATAGTAACCATTGGACTACCATTTTCCCTTGCTTGCAACATCCAATCCATTGGCAAATCTTCTTGGTCCCACCTTTAAAACATATTCACAATCTGACCATGTTTCAGCATTTCTACTACGACTTAGTTTGGACCATCAATATCTATTCCTTGATCTCATCAATCATTTTAAATTGGGACTTTTGCACTTCTTTATCTCACTATCCAGGTCTCATTACTTCACTTCTCTCAGATCTCAAATGTCACCTCATCAGTTAGGTGTTCCTTGTCTAGGTTAAATACCAACATGCCCATTCCTATGTTATGTTTTTTCATAGCACTGATCTAATATTCTCTCTATCCTTTTTATTATCTCCACCACTACCCAATCCTCATCCCACAGAATATAATCTTCACAAGGGTAAGAAATTAAGTCTGTTTTGTTCAATGCTGCTTGCCCAGAGTGGTGATCAGTATGTAGTACTTAGTAAGTATTTGTTGAGTAAAAGTAATTTTCAATACTCATTTCCCCCTTGAGTTCTTAAAATGTAAAAAATCTCCATCAGAACAAGCTAAAATTTAAAACACAAGTATTACAGTTTTTGAAACAAGTTCCTAAAATATAAAATCACATTTACAGTTTCTAGATCCTCATATTTCTGCAAGCAACATTCACAATATCCTTTTTTCTTCTTCTCTTTCAACTGGAGTTGAACTGAGGTTCCACCATATTTATCGCCATCCGTTTGGATTCTGATGACAGAAATACATGGTAAAGAATTAACTGCTTAACCTAAGGAATAACTTTTAAAAATTTTTGTCCTAAACTATCACACACAGAATCTGCATAATTTACAGAGACTTATATCAGCAAGTACTTTTAATCATATTTCTTTATAATATGTTAAGAAGCAAACTAAGATTTAAAAAATAGTTTGAGAATATTTCAGTCATTCAAGATAAACTACACATTTTCATTATTTACAAATATTTTAAGGCCCTCCCTACCTCCATCTAAACAGATTCAGAATTCAAATCTAGTGTAGAGAGATTAAAAATATACAGAGGGAAAAGTAATCAGAATAGTAATTACAAACACAAACAACCACTATGGCATAAACCAAACTATTTCAAATCTTTATAAAGAACAATTGAGATGACATTCTGAATATTCCATCTAGAAGTAAAGATTCAAACAAACCTTAGTTTCACCTGAGTTTGCTTTTGCATACTAGATGGCTTTTCTACATCAAATGGACAGCAGGGCTTCGGAATAGAATAATTTATAAAAGGCATATTGGTCAGCTGAAGATAAAATGGCCTATAAAGTCTAAAAAAAAATAGACAAAATACATGAGATTCTTTATGATGAAAGAAAACAAATTTTAAAGTTTTATATTTCAAAATCACCTCATTCAGTGGAATCTGAAATAAACAACAGAAATCATTTAGGCTTCCCCCTTCAAAAATCCAATTTCTAGGCCTAATATTTTTAACATTTACACATTTTTAAAACTGTGACAAAATACACATAAAATTTACTACCTTAACTATTTTAAGTGTACAATTCAGTAGGATTAAGTATTCATAATGCTGTGGGGTACCATCACTGCTATTGGTCATCTTTTGCATGATGATGTATTTTCATCTTGCAAAATCTGAAACTCTGTTCCCATCAAACAGTAACTTCCCAACCATCCTTTTTCTCTGTAGCTCCTAACAACCACCATTCTACTTCCTGCTATTTATTTGACTAATGTAGGTGCTTCATGAGTGGGATTATGTAGTATTTTTCCTCTTATTTCACTTAGCATAATGTCCAAAGGTTTATCCATGTTGCATGTGTCAGAATTTCTTTCCTTTTTAAGGATGAGTAATATTCCATTGACTGTGTGCACACATATTCCACATATTGTTTATCTATTTCTTTGCTGATGGGCTTGGTTAACTTTCACTTTTTGGCTGCTGTGGACTTTTTAATAGGAGCCATCGTAAATAATGTAAAGTGGTATCTCATTGTAGTTTAGATTTGCAATTCCCTAATGATTAGCAATATTGAGCATCTTTTCATAAGCTTATTGGCTATTTGAATATCATCTCTGGAGAAATGTCTATTCAGTACTTTGCTCATTTTAAAAATTGGGTTGTTTTATGTTGTTGAGTTGTAATTCTTTATATATTCCAAATATTAACACCTTTATTAGATATATGACTTCTTCAACCTGAAAAAGCTGAAAAAAAAAAAAGATATATGATTTGCAGTATCGTCTTCCATTCTTTGGGTTGCCTTTTTACTGTTATATCTCTTTAGGCACAGAAATTTTGTATTTTTGATATAGACCAATTTGATTACTTTACCTTTTGTCTGTATTTTTGGTGTCATATCCAATAAAGCACTAAAAATCCAATGCCATGAAGTTTTTCCCCTATGTTCTCTTCCAAGAGTTTTATCATTTTAGGTCTTTGGTCCATTTTGAGTTAATTTTTGCATATGATGTAAGGTAGGAGTCTAATGCCATTCTTTTGCATGTGTATATCTAGTTTTCTCAACACTGTTAAAAAGACTGTCCTTTCTCCATTAGATGATCTTCCTACCATTGCTGAAAATCATTTTCCCATAGGTGTGATGGCTTATTTATAGTCTCTCTATTCTATTCCATTGGTTTATATGTCTTTATTCCAGTACCAAATTGTTCTGATTACTATAGCATTATAGTAAGTTTTGAAGTCAGGAATTGTGTAAGTCCTACTTTGCTGTTCTTTTTAACGACTGTCTTGGGTATGTGACATCTGTTGTGATTCCATATGAATTCTAGGAAACATTTTTATTATTTCTGCAAAAAACATCTTTTGATTTTTGACAGGGAATGCACTGAATCTGCAGGTCACTTTGGGTGATATTAACATCTTAAAAATATTATGTCTTCCAGTTCATGAACATGGGATATCCTTTTGTGTACTAGTGTCTTCTCTAGGCCTCCTTTTCAATTGCACTTTTTCTTCATAGCAACACATTTCATAAAAAGCAGCTTTCAGTACAATTTTTGTAACCTCAGTGTGAGTACCCAAGAGAATTAACCACACATCTAAATAAGTAAATGGAAAGAAAAAAGAAAGTAACCTAATTCTCTCACAGCAGGCCTATTTATATCTACAGTCTTCATTAAGATTATCCTATATGGCTGGGCATGGTGGCTCACACCTGTAATCCCGGCACTTTGGGAGGCTGAGGCTGGAGGGTCACATGAGATCAGGAGTTAGAGACCAGCCTGGGCAACATGGTGAAACCTCATTTCTACTAAAAATACAAAAATTAGTTGGGCATGGTGGTATGCACCTGTAATCCCAGCTACCTGGGAGGTGGAAGCAGGAAAATTGCTTGAACTTGTTGGGGCAGAGGCTGCAATGAATTATGCTACTGGACTCCAGCCTGGGTGACAGAGTGAGACTCCATCTCCAAAAATCAAAACGAACAACAACAAGATTATCCTAAAATACTTCAGAGTGAGTTTTGGAAATCAACTGTGTTAGATGTTATACTTAGATTTTCTATTTCTAAATAGCATCTAATAATTTCTTTTTCACAAATGCAGGAGTAATCTTTAAGTATTGGTACTGCATTTAGCCATAGAATTACTTTAAATACTAAAAAATGTCATCATGATTTTTCTAAGCCAGCTATTTCAGAGACATCCACAACATACTGAAACCAAATTTAGTCTTTCAGCACAAATGAATTCATGCTACGTTAGATAACTTGTGCCGCAGGCACTTTAGTATAATATAAATCAAACACAAAGGAACCTAACAGTAGTAATCGAGCTAGCCTAATTAGTTAGGTAATCTTCCCCTTTAGTTCTGCACTTAAATCACACAGACTGGACTTAAGATACTTACTGGCTGATATCTTCTACTTTTACAAAAGGCTTTTTGAGTCTTCCTGCTTAAGAATATAAAAAACATATTAGTTACTTGCAAATACAGGAATTTTAAAAAATAAAGCAATTACGGCAAAACAAAACCCTCCCAAACAAAAAATCTATATATCCATTTTAAAGTTGTAAGCCTCAGATGAGGTACTTCCATTACCACCTCATGTCCAAAAATAACAGAAGATCTCTCTATGTTCTCAGAGTCTTAAACTAAATGAAACCCTCATATGAATACGATTCAGGAGGGTCATAAATTAGAACAGGAGAAAAACTACACTATTATTTTCACTGACCACAAACTGAAATTTAGCATTTCCTCCAGTTATAAATGTGACAAATCACTGGGCGTGGTGGCTCACGCCTGTAATCCCAGCACTTTGGGAGGCCGAGGAGAGTGAATCACAAGGTCAGGAGATTGAGACCATCCTGCCCAACATGGTGAAACCGCGTCTCTACTAAAAACACAAAAATGAGCTGGTATGGTGGTGGATGCGGGTAATCCCAGCTATTCGGGAGGCTGAGGCAGGAGAATCGCTTGAACCTGGGAGGTGAAGGTTGCAGTAAGCTGAGATTGTGCCACTGCACTCCAGGCTGGCAACAGAGCAAGACTCCCTCTCAAAAAAAGCAACTTTGGTACTAATAGAAACAGCCCAAATTTTCATATCAGTTATGAACTAAACAGACATCGCAAAGCATTTTTTATGCTTATTAATTCAAATGACAGTAGCAATTAGATTCACTGCTAGAATCTGTTCTATGTAATAAAAAGCAAGGTTGGGTACAGTGGCTCATGCCTGTAATCCCAGCACTTTGGGAGGCTGAGGTGGGCGAATCACCTGAGGTTGGGAGTTTGAGACCAGCCTGACCAACATGGAGAAACCCTGTCTCTACTAAAAGTACAAAAAATTAGCTGGGCATGGTGGCACCTGCCTATAATCCCAGCTACTTGGGAGGCTGAGGCAGGAGAATCGCTTGAACCCGGAAGGGGGAGGGTTGAAGTGAGCCGAGATTGCGCCACTGCACTATAGCCTGGGACATAAGAGCAAAACTCCGTCCAAAAAAAAAAAAAGCAAGTTATCACTCTTTCATAATTAAAAACCATTTTCATAACTAAATTTTAATGTAATTCATTTTCTTGGTAGTCTAATGATTAAAAAGAAATTTTTAAACACTATTCTGAGAATGTGGTCCACAGGCTTCACCAAACTTCACTAAGGATCTACATTCTAAAAAAGACCAAGAAAGCCCTGAATAAATCATTTAGAGGGTGGTTTACATGAGTTTAGAAGATCTTTTATGATTTTTCAAAAGCAAAGCAAATATACTTAAAAATATCAAGATACTTACTTCTTGTTTTTTGTGCACCGGTACCAACTCTTTTCCCCTAAAAAAAATAGCGAAAAGATTGGGTTTTAAAGGACAGTTAAAAGAGCAAATCCAACTGCTCAATATCCTCAAGATAAAAAAATCATGCAGAAAAGTACTATATCAAGGATTATTCTTGCTTTGTTAAAAAAAAAACCTCAGACATTAAACAACAATCCTTCAAGAACTAAAGATTGTAACCACTAGAGTAGAATTCAGTAACTAAAACTGTTTTACAATACATACACCCAAGTACCATGCATTCTAACTATAATTGATTTGGACTTCTTAAAAAGAAATCAACCAATAATGAAAAGGTAGGTAGTGAAATACGTTTTTAAAAAGTCTTTTTGTTTTTTGAGATGGAGCCTTGCTTCGTCAACCAGGCTGAAGCAATCTCTGCTTCCTGGTTTCAAGTAATTCTCCTGTCTCAGCCTCCCAATGAGTTGAGCAGGAGCCTATTTTTATGCCTTAATTCAGCAAAATCTTTGTATTAAACTGAAGAAAGAAACTAGTCAACATTTACTAGTCTGTCAATTTAGGCAAAGATTCAATACGTCCAAGATGGTAATCAGTTCTACTGATAACAAGTAAAAATTCTGGACAACACTGAATAAGCAACTACCTGAAGATTGGGGAAAAAAATAAGCATGTAGATTGTGGAAAGAAGTCAAAACTGGAACCATCAGTCTTGGAGTTAGCAGCAGTGGCAGAGACAGCAGCTGAAACTTCTATACAAACCTTATCTTTCTGTCTGGAAGAACCAGGAATAAAGTTCTAGTAGTCCAAAAATACCACAAGAATCCCTATATTCTTTATTTCTTTTCTCCCACAATTCTGCTCTGAGGGTGGGCCCCAAACAGGAAGCTAAGGTTGTAAAGGTAGCACAAGCTTAAGCTAACATTGAGAAACCTTCACTTTCTGACTAAGACCTGGTAAAGAGGCCACTGTGAGCTGGAGATTAATCATAGAGATCAAGTTAGAAAGGGATCCATTCCCTGTATAAATCCACACAAGTACAGGGCTTAATTCAAAGCTGCACATGCTAAGGACAGACCCAAAGCAGCATAGCAACGGCTTTGAAAACTGAAACTGAGATTAGAACCACCACCCACAAAAATTAAAAAATGTTGTGTTGTGTAGGTTCTAGATCTACTCTGATAGTCTGGAGAAAGCCGATTTTGTTTTTGCTATTGTTTTAGCAGACAGTGACTGCTAAATAGGTTCAGAATAGATCTAGAACCTACACAACATTTACAATGTCCAGTCAAAACTTAAATTTGACATTTGAATGACCAGAAAAACATGATCAATTTTTGAGAGAAAAGGATAATCAAATGGCAACCCCAACATGTTCTGGATACTATAATTATCAGAAAAAGACTTTAAAGGTAAAGGTGAACACATTTAAGATGAATGGAAAGAGACAAGTTCTCAGGAGAAAAACTACAAATAGGAACCAACCAGAAATAATAAAGCTGAAAAATATATCATCTGGGATACAAAATTCACTGGGTAAGTTCAATAGCAGAACATAGATGACACAGTGAAATATTAGTGAACTTGAAGACAAATGAACAGAAATCTCCAATTGGAAGGAAAGAGGAATAAAAAAAAGACTAAGAAAAAAAGGAACACAGCTACAGGGACCTGTGGAATAACAAGATATCTAACTTTACTGTCAACTGGAGTGGTGGAAAGAGGGAAGAGAGTGGTTTAGAAAAAAAAAAAATTAACAAAATAATAGCTGAAAACTTTCAAACATAAATTTATGCAATCAATAAGCTGAGTAAACTGCAAACAGAATAATTTCAAAGTAAACCATGTGTAGGCACAATCAAACTTCTGAAACCAAAGATAAAAAAAAATTCTTAAAAGCAGCCAGAGAAAAATGATACAGTATGTATAAGTGAATACTAACTTGAACAACTAAAGATTTCTCATCAGAATCCATAGAGATCAGAAGACAATTTTAGGGCAGAAGTGCTGAAACAAAAAACTGTCAATTCATGATTCTTTTTCAAGTAATGATTGATTACATGAAGGATTCTAAGAGAATTCCTTGTGCCACCAGAATTGCTCTAAAACATGCAAAATGGCTAAAGGGATATATCCGAACCCTGTAATTTCAGGAATGAAGGAAGAATAATGGGAAGGTTAACATCTGGGTAAATACGACTATTTTTCTCCTGTTACTTTCTTTAAAATACGACTTTTTTTCTTTTATTCTCTTTCTTCCCTGAGACAGGAGTCTTGCTCTGTTGCAAGCAGTGGTGTGAGCTTGCCTCACTGCAGCCTCCACCTCTAGGGCTCAGGCCATCATCTCACCTCAGCCTCCCAAGTAGCTGGGACTGCAGGCATATACCACCATGCTTGGCTAATTTATATATATATATTTCTTTTTTTTGTAGCGATGGGGTTTGCCATATTGCCCAGGCTGGTCTCAAACTCCTGACCTCAAGTGATCCACCCACCTTGGCCTCCCAAAGTGCTGGGATTACAGGTGTGAGCCATCAGGCCTGGCCCTATAATACGACCTTTCAAGCAAAAAGTTTAACATTGTCTGGTGACATTTTCATTATAAGAAGATGTAATAAACATTATGACATAAAGGTTGGTGGGGAAGGCAAAAGGGCTTGAATATTTAAGGTTTCTACATTTTATCTGAAGAAAGCAAATATTAATTCAAGATAGATTGTGAAAGTTCATGCATGTATATTATAAATCCTATAGAAACCACTAAAATAAAACAACAAAAACAAAGAGAGTTAAAAAGCCAGTAGATCAATCTCGAAGTTAGGAAAGGGGAAAACAGAAGAATAAAATACAGAGGGAATCAACAGAAAACAAACAGTAAGCTGGTAGACCTAAAGCCAGTATCAATAATTACATTAAACAAAATTCACTTAAACATACCAAATTAAAAGACAGATTGCCAAATTTGATGAAAAAGACACCATCTGCAAAAAGTCCATTTTAAATATATATGTATGTTAAATGCAAAAGACTGCAAAAAATGCTATGTAAATACTAACAAAAATAAAGCCGGAGTGCCTTACATCGGAGAGTATACTTCAATACAAGAATTAACAGGGACAGAAGAGAGCATTATAGAGGATAAAAGGGTCAATTCACCAGAAAGACAAAAAAATATTAAATGTGTACACATCCAACAATAGGCTTTCAGTAGTTATCATGAGTTTAAGGGAATGGAGGGATAAACATGGAAGATTTAAAATACATATATTTTACATATGTAAATAAATATATATAAATATACATATTTTTTATTGGACTTTAGGTTCTGGGGTATATGTGCAGAACATGCAGGATTGTTGCATAGGTACATATATGGCAATGTGGTTTGCTGCCTCCTTTCCCCAGTCACCTGTATCTGGCATTTCTTCCCATGTTATCCCTCCCCAATCCCTCTAACCCCCCCATCCCACCCCTATTCCCCTGCAAGAGACCCCAGTATGTGATGCTCCCTACCTGTGTCCATGTGTTCTCATTGTTCAACACCCACCCATGAGTGGAAAATGCAGTGTTTGCTTTTCTGTTCTTGTGTAAGTTTGCTAAGAATGATGGTTTCCAGGTTCATCCATGTCCCTACAAAGGATACAAACTCATCGTTGTTGATGGCTGCATAGTATTCCATGGTGTACATGTGCCATATTTCCCTTGTCCAGTCTATCACTGATGAGCACGTGGGTTGATTCCAGGTCTTTGCTATTGTAAACAGTGCTGCAATGAACATACGTGTGCATATGTCCTTATAATAGAATGATTTATAATCCTTTAGATATACACCCAGTAATGGGATTGCTGGGTCAAATGGAATTTCTAGATCCTTGAGGAATTGCCACACTGTCTTCCACAATGGCTGAATTAAAACTTGCACCAACAGTGTATAAGTGCTGCTATTCCTCCACATCCCTTCCAGCATCTGTTGTCTCTGTATTTTTTAATGATTGCCATCATAACTGGCATAAGATAGTATCTCAATGTGGTTTTGATTTGCATTTCTCTAATGACCAGTTGGCCTCATATATGTCTACTTTTGAAAAGTGTCTGTTCAGGTCCTTTGCCCACTTCTGAATGGGTTTATCTTTTATCTTGTAAATTTCTTTTTGTTCTTTGCAGATTCTGGATATTGGCCTTTGTCCGATGGGTAGATTGCAAAAATTTTTTCCCATTCTGTTGGTTGCCGATTCACTCTGATGATTGTTTCTTTTACTGCACAGAAGCTCTGGAGTTTAATTAGATCCCATTTGTCTATTTTGGCTTTTGTTGCCAACGCTTTTGGTGTTTTAGTCATGAAGTCCTTGCCTATTGCCTACTAGGCTTTCTACTAGGGTTTTTAGAGTATTAGGTTAAGTCTTTAATCCATCTGGAGTTAATTTTAGTGTAAGGTGTCAGGAAGGGGTCCTTTGTGCTTTCTGCACATGGCTAGCCAGTTTTTCCAATATTTCTTAAACAGGAAATCCTTTCCCCATTGTTTGTTTTTGTCAGATTTGTCAAAGATCAGATGGGTGTAGATGTGTGGCATTGCCTCTGAGGCCTCTGTTCTGTTCCATTGGTCTATATCTCTCTTTTGGTACCAGTACAATGCTGTTTTGATTACTGTAGGCTTGTAGTATAGTTTCAAATCAGATAGTGTGATGCCTCCAGCTTTGTTCTTTTGCTTAGGATTGTCTTGGCTATGCGGGCTCTCTTTTGGTTCCATACGAAGTTTAAGGTGGATTTTTCCAGTTCTGTGAAGAGGGTCATGGGTAGCTTGATGGGGATAGCACTGAATCTGTAAATTACTTTTGGCAGTATGGCCATTTTCACAATATTGATTTTTCCTAACCATAAGCATGGAATGTTTTTCCATCTGTTTGTGTCCTCTCTTATTTCCTTGAGCAGTGGTTCATAGTTCTCCTTGAAGAGGTCCTTGACATCCTTTGTTAGTTGTATTCCTAGGTATTTTATTCCCTTTGTAGCAATTGTGAATGGCGGTTCATTCTTGATTTGGCT